TTTTTCTGCTAGATTTTAACGAAAAGTAAGTTCTTTAAAAACTAATAAATCAGCTTTTCTTCTAAGTTTCTCTACATAGCTGGAGATTTAATTTAGGAGCAAACCTGCTCAGATATGTTCAAGCATAGCTAATGTATGGGGGAGGTGGGGGCTCTCTTACAGTTTCCCAGTTCCCAGTATAGTCATCCATTACAGCAGTGTCCTGCTGAGAAGCAGTAAAGGGCAAGATGAAGCAATTGCTTTTCGCTGAACTATCTAACTGGCAAAAGAGTGTAGGTAGAAATCTCTCTCTATATGGATTTGCAGAATGAGGTAAATCTCTAAGCAGTATTTACACTACTTCAAGAGTTTAGGAGCTTTGAATCATCTTGTGGAAGAGTCTGTTTCTCTGCTGGCTATTTGAGAAGCATTTCTCTCCATTTCCTCCCTGTGATCCCTGTTGTAATAACTGCCCCCTTCCTTTAACTGCTATACTTTCCTTTAACTGCTATATGTGGTATGACATATACCAGCTCAAGTATATCACAGCGGACCTCCTGACACTGCACTCTCCAGCTGGTTGTCCTAACATGCTTTGTTATGAAAAATGCAGCATTTTCAGAGTAGCTGGATTAACTATTCTGATCTGGTTGAAATGCTCTCATTTAACAGACAGTCATCACTTTGCCAAAATCTTACCAGTTTCCTCAATTGGGGGAATCCTCATGTGAGTAACTGGACATATATCCTCAGTCATTCTAGAATTTTATCTGTTTTATTTCTCTACTATGCATTTCAGGCCAGTTATCGTATATGTGGCCCGATAGCATGTATCATGTATCATATCAGTTTGTCTATCTGTAGAATAGGATCAAAACCATTCCTATTTCCTATATGCCGGTATTCTTTCCTGCATAATTTTGCTTTTATAACCATAAAACAAGGTTTTATAACAAGGCAAAGATTGCTTTGAGTAATTCTTGAAGGAAAAGTTAAAAGGTCAAACCTAGTAACAGTTAGCTGAGTTAAACAATAAAGTGAAAGCTGCTCCCTGCATCCTTTACCTTGTCACATGCAGCTCCTGCTAGATTAACTGGGGGAGAAGTTTGTGTGTCCAAGTGCATTTGCCACGAGAAACTTGCATGTTCCCTGAAAAAGTTCAAAAGTTATGAAACAAATATAAACAGACACACTGTTTCTGAATCCATGGTACTGATTATCCCAGGTGTAAACACTGTCAAGACACCTACAAATTGCATGTACACATTTGCACCTTTGGCTGTTTGGCTGCTAGCAGTAGTGGCAGTAGGCAATAGGTAACAGGCAAACAGGAGTTTTGATGCTGCAGTTTACGAATGCCTGCCATGTCTCCTGAGTGAGTGAAATTACCCCACCTCACCAGCCCCCAGCCCAACTCTTCTGGGTTTGTTTTCGTTTTTCATTTCCCCCTTTAACCCTTTAACTTACCTGGTTCACTGTCACCACTCACTTTCAGCTGCCTCCCTTGCCTCTGCATCACATAGGAAGCCAGTTCATCACACAAAAATAGCTGAAAACTAGACAGCCAAAGCAAAGTAAACAGCACAGCAAGCTCACTTGGCTTACAAACCCCAAAGCCAGATAAACACCAAGCCAGAGCATAGGCAGAGGGAGCTGCAGGGCTGGAAGCCGGAGCAAGAAGAAGGAAAAACAAACTAGTGCTCTGCCTTGCTGCACTGGCAACAGTTATTTTGTTTCAGCCATACTGTGAGCCTGTGTTAGATATATACAGTAGTGCAGGGCCGGAGCATCTCCTCTCCGGGATCTTGGCACCGAAGAAAGCTCATCTGGAAAGAAGCTGTAGCACTGCAAAGCTACAGTGTCTGCTAAGGGCATGTGCTCTTAATGTGGTTTTGTGTTGGAAAGAGGCTTGCTAAAAACCTTCTTCAAAAGGCTTCTTGTTTCTTCAGAAACATCCTTGCACTGTGGGTCTTCCTAGGGTTCTCATGCACTGGGATTTTAAAAAAGGTGAGAAGCTGGTCTGTATTAGGTCATACAGCTCCTGTAACAGACGTCTGCAAGGAGGTTCTGCCACTCCCATTGATATCAGTGTCCAAAGTCCTTAAATAAAAGAACATGAATTTATGGGGTTTTGGCATTTGTATTTCAAAAGGCTGTGATAGTACGTCCACTAGTATGTTCCTGAAGCATTAATCTTTATCATTTAAAAAGTGGCACGAAAATCCCTGACAAAAGGAAATAAGAAATTATATTTTTGTTACCTTATGAAGGGTTAAAACAGTAGAGCAGCACTGTGACAATGGTGGAAGAAAAGAATTTTCAAACTACAAAGTAGATGTGCCTAAAATGTATATTATTATGATGTGCTGGTATTGTTAATCCATAATTACCAATTTACAAGTCACATGATTCTCTGGTGCATTACAGGTGTAGATATATAATTTTCAAAAATGTATTAATGTATTGTACTTTATGGTAAAAGACAGTATTGTTTCCCCTTTTTCTAATATATAAAAAGTCTACTTTGCCATGGATCTTACCGGATATTTCCATTAGGAGAAGACTGATAAAAAAGACTTTGAGGCAATCCTGTTTGGTTGGTTGGTTTGTTGTTTTCAACAAATAATGCACAAAGACCTGTATGCTGAATTGCAGGAGAAAGTGCTTTTGCCCACAAACCACTTCTTGCCAGCACTGAGTCCAGAAGTATTTCCTCGGTGAGATGCCACTGGAACCTCTGGGGTTTTTTTTCTCCATCCCTTTTCCACAAACCCAGAGCTGCACTCAAACCAGTACTGTCTGCCTTTAGCTCACAGTAACATGGGCTGCCCTAACCTCCATGTCTTCATCCCACATACCAGACTCTTTAGGTGGAGGATTCTGTCATGCTGGGTATAGTTGTCACAGCAACAAAGCTGTTGTACCACCAATTTCAAGTTGATTTCTTCCCTACATGATAGTATTTAATATATGTCTATAAATCTGAATGACCATCTGTAGAATACAGTTGAAAATAAGTATTAATACAAGTACATAAATTCATTCTTTGAGTTTGTATTATATTAAAATGCAGCCTACAGGAAACCACCTTTAAACTAGTAAAATATAATTAATTAGTAAAATAAAACACAAATAAATCTATAAAGCCTTCCAGATCTAACATGATTATTCAAATCCAGGCCTACCTGGATAGGTAGTAACAGATGCAAAATGTCTGAGCATTCAGGCAACTCCATTGAATATAACAGAAATTTTTACATATTGGAAGTGAAACGTGTGCATTCAGGTTTTACCGGATGAAGCTGAAAGCTGACTCTACTGTTTATGGATATAGAAAATAAACACACTGGTATCATTCTAGCCCTCAGTGACTGGCCTTCTTCATGTGACATTAATCAAGAACTTTGTTGGCTGTTGCAGCAGATAGGTCAAAACCTATGTAGGCATGTGTCGTGGTTTAACCCCAGCCGGCAACTAAGCCCCACACAGCTGCTCACTCACTCCCCCCCAGTGGGATGGGGGAGAGAATCGGAAGAGCAAAAGTAAGAAAACTCATGGGTTGAGATAAAGACAGTTTAATACTTGAAATAATAACAACAACAACAATATAAAAATTGTAATGGAAAGTAAAACAACGAGAGAGAGAGAGAGAGAGAGAGAAAACCCCGGGGGGGGAACCCAAGTGATGCAACCACTCACCACCCACTGACTGACACCCAGCCAGTCCCTGAGCAGCGATCACTGTCCCCCGGCCAACTCCCCCCAGCTTATATGCTGAGCATGACGTCATATGGTATGGAATATCCCTTTGGTCAGTTTGGGTCAGCTGCCCTGGCTATGCTCCCTCACAGCTTCTTGTGGACCTCCTCGCTGGCAGGGCATGAGAAGCTGAAAAGTCCTTGACTTAGTATAAACACTGCTTAACAACAACTAAAACATCAGTGGGTTACCACATTATTCTCATCCTAAATCCAAAACACAGCACTGTACCAGCTACTAGGAAGAAAATTAACTGTATCCCAGCCAAAACCAGGGCAGCATGGCAAGTTAATTTTCCTGCCCCTACATCTTAGTTGAGTCAGAGCAGTAGACTATGGAGTGTTATTTTTTGTTGTTACCCTCACTGTACCTCTACTGTGGACAGAGGATTTAATTTCCAGGATTGCTAAGACAGCCATTTCCATGAGCGTGAAATGCAAATGAAAAACGTTAGAGAATTTTTAGAAGGTTGCACTTACTGCAGCTTTCCGTGACAATTGCAGTAGGCATAACTTTTATCTAAACCCAAGTTCTGTTTATAGCTGCACTCGCCCATTAATTATTTTACCAGCCCAAGACAGGTCAAAAACTCTGGCAGGATGTTGAGCAACTGATAGCTACATAAACAGTCTCCTTTGAGCAATGTCTTAGTTTTGTAGCTCTTGACGAATGTGAAGCAGAGATAGAGCGCATTCTCACTGAAGTCTGAGAGTCTTCTTGCCATCAACAGTAGGACTTGAACTTGGCTGTAATGAATCACAAGATGTACCAGAGAAAAAGTAAGTATCTCTGGGGACTGAAAGGATAACCGTGCTTTCTTCCAACTTTACTTACTCACTGGCGGTAGCAAATGCCAAACGATGATAATGTATGCAGTGAATCACATCAGCCATAACTACAAAGGAAACATATTTCATGGTTGGTTAATTCTTAATTGATTGTGATAGCTCTGGTCTAAAATAGAGAGCAAAATATGCCACTGATCAAGAGTCTTGTGAAGTCCACGCTTTATGCAATTCATGCGCTTTTATGGATGTCATCCAGTGAATTTTCAAACAGAAAATGGTATCTCCAACCCTCATTTCAGATCTGAGTGAACAGAGTGAAATGGAACGACTAAAAACTCACAGAAGATAAGAACTTTCATCCAGTTGATGTTGTCTTAGTTTATCATCATACCAGCCACTCCTGCCGGACAACAGCAGTTGAACTGTGAGAGAAAGGAAGGCAGAAATGGGCTAAAACGGGAGGAAGGAAGCAGAATGGTCAAATTCAGGGATGATTTATATTCCGCTTACAATAGTACAGCTTCTGTCTCCTCTAATGAAAGAGTTGGCATAAAAAACCTCATGATGCTGAATGACCTAGCCATGCCTCAGCAAGGAAGTGGCAGGATTGGAGAAACATTGGCGGGACTGGAGCCAGTACAGCTATACCCACTCTTCCCTTCCCCTTGGGGTAAAAGCATTTACATTTTTTAATGGCCCCATCTTATTTTCAGCCCATGTTTTAGCTTTCACAAAATAGATTAAGCATGCTCTGTTCTCTGCAGGCAAGAGAAGCATATGTAGGGAGCTTCTGCTGCTCTTGCTGTGGCCTTTGTGCGGTTTGACAGGTCTCCGCATTTGTTTCTATCCCTTGATGAGGCTAGTCCCTATTTCTAAAGAATCGCTGGAATACATTGATCAATACAGAACACCTGGGCATTTTACAAGCCTCAAAGGCTATGGTTTATCAGAAATAATATATTAGCACCTCTAGTCATTTGCACATTGGCATAAACACTGGAAAGTTTCTCTTTTTTCTCAGAATATGATAGTGATTCAAAGATGGCTAGAGATACCTGTTCACCTTTGCGCAGGTAAGCTGAGGAAACCAGCTTTGTAGCATTTCTTTTTGCTCTGAGAGGTAACACATCTCTTGGGCCAGGCAAGGCAAAAGATGGGACAAAGAATTTCAGACATAAGACTGAAAATTGTGTGTCACAAAAAATCTCCCCTTGTGCGAATCTGAGGATGCAGCAAAATCGTGAATTATAGAAAAACAGACACGCAGAGCTTGAGATAAACAAAATTCAGTGCTTCAGTTTCAGTCAGTGCGGCTTTTGTCTTTGAGACAGGGCACCCGCAGGGCCAGGGAACAAAAAAAACAAACCAGGGGGAGGCGATCTCAGACAGAGCCCCCTTTTGTGTTTCTGATCTTATCTTCCCTGAAAGGAAGGACAGAGCGCTGCAATTTAGATAAGACGGCAAACCGCTGAAGAGCCACCTCCAGGCTGCGCCTTTCGGTGCTC